TATGTTATTTGAAAGGTGCTCCTGGACGTGGTTTGTTATATAAAGATCATGGTCATCTTAATATTGAATGTTTTTCAGATGCTGATTGGGCAGGTTCTAAGGAAGATAGAAGATCAACCTCAGGATATTGTGTATTTGTCGGAGGTAATTTAGTTTCTTGGAAATGTAAGAAACAAAACGTGGTGTCGCGCTCGAATTCTTAATCAGAATATAGAGCTATGGTACAGTCGATGTGTGAATTAGTATGGATACATCAGCTTCTGACTGAATTGGGATTTGACATCACCACTCCAATGAAACTTTGGTGTGATAATCAAGCAGCTCTTCATATTGCATCTAATCCAGTATTTCATGAACGAACCAAAGAAGTTAATTGTCATTATGTACGTGAGAAAATACAGCAAGGATTGGTGGCTACAGGATATGTGAAGATTGGAGAGCAGCTAGAAGATATGTTTACTAAAGCATTGAATGGAGCACGAATAGATTGTTTGTCTAACAAGTTAGACATGATTAATATATATGCCCCAACTTGAGGGAGAGTGTTAGAGTATAGATATTAGTATATTTTATATTCTTGTATTAATATTAATTTGTCCTTTACCTTCTCCTTATAGGATTAGGTCAACCTTGTATATTTGTCTATATATATAGACTTTAATAATGAGAATACATCATATTGGATCCTCTCCAACCTTAGTCTCTATAATTACTTTAACAAAAGTACATGGACCAAAAATGTTTTTTAACCCTTAATTTATAAGGAATAGTTTGTTGGTTGGTTAGTTGTCAATCTGGTAAATTGCTTATTGTGGAGAATGTGAATCTCTGGTGTGAGAGGGGACAAGGGTGTTCTTGCTTGTGTTGGTGGCTAGAGCTTGGTTGACAAAGATAACATAAAGTAACTTTGTAAGGTTGTGATTGATATTGAACAATCCATAGCAAACCTTTCGAGGTCGTTTGAATCTAGATGGGCATCTAGATTACTTCGCCTGTTTTATAGGACGGTAGGATCCAAGACATCTTGAGATGTTCAGGCACCTTAGGGTGCTCATACAAGAGGGTATTTGTGGAACTTCTAGTACCAAATTTCTAAGATTCACAAGGGCACCTTTCTCTTGACATTTTTGTTCTTCGTCTTTCTTTTATATATATATATATCCTGGCTTTTGGACTAAGTTTATGTATTACCACGATATGAAGAAAGTAATGCAACTAAAGATTAGAGGAATATGATGACTTGTTCTAAAGTTAGGTTAATAGGCAACTTAAGCATCAACAACAGTATCAGTCAAGAACTTCCATAGGGTGTCAGATTGATTGTGTAGCAGTAAAGATAACTTCCCCAAAATGTTTTATGAACCTTATTTTCTGAGAAGGAGAGCATGGGTAACGGGAATTGATATATTGTGAAAATTCACATAATTGACACCAATAATTGGGGGGAGAAGGGAAGGGTTGTTCTCCAACAGGTTAGCTATATGTCGCTGATATGTTAAAAGTATTGGTGATTACCATTCGTTGGACCAATGATAAATCATCTTACAAAAAGTCTATATCCTCGATGCGAGACTTCAACTTTTTCCATAGAAGAAGCTGGCCTTCATGACTCATGAGATTCCTCTCTTCAACGGTTTGTACACTTGGTCCTGACTCAGGGAAGAACCTACACTCACACTTATAACAGTGATGCACACCACCCTTCTTAATCCATGAAACCTTATATGGAGTGGGGTGAGGTGATAAAGGTAAATGCAAAGCTTTGGCTAACTTACTTGCAATGACATTTTCGGTACTGCCACTATCTACTATGATATTGCAAATCTTTCTATTGATTGTGCATCTTGTCTTAAAGAGAGCATGTCTTTGGTAAGTTACTTTGGTTTTAGATGTCAACAATTCCCATTGGATAACAAAAGAAACCGGTTCTCCTTCATCTGGTTCTGCATAATCAATTTCCTCTTCATGATCCTCGCTGCTATCCTCTTGGCCATCTTCTTCTTCGACCAAGGTGATAGCTTTTTGTTGAGGACATTCATTAGATAAATGCCTGGTTTGTCCACACTGGAAACATTTACCCAATGTTGGTCGGCTGTACGTATTTCCAGTCCTCTTTCTTGCAACATTGTCAGTTTGTTTATCTTTAACAAGATCTAGTTTGGGTTGCTTACCTTTGGTTGTGGCAGAGTTACAGATTGGAGAAGAAAGAAGATCACTGGACGCTGCATTCTTTTTGGGCGTCCCTCCTTGTTCCCAATTGTTCCTTCTTGAATACTGCTTCTTGAAGCGGTGACTAACCTGTTCTTCAATGGTAGTTGCCGTAGAAATAGCTTCATTTAGATACCCAATCGGCTGCAAAGCTATTTGTTCCTTAATTTTGGCTCGCAACCCACGAATGTATCGTGATACTAGGTAGTGTTGGCTTTCCACTAGATTTGTTCTTGCTCCCAAGCAATGAAATTCTTCCGTGTAATCTGTTATGGATCTTGAACCTTGTTTACAATTTTGATATTGACTGTACAAAATTTGTTCAAAATTGATTGGGAGAAAATGCTCTCTCATAAGTTTCTTCATATGCTCCCAACTCCTAATAGGTTGCTTTCCATAGCGTTGCCTATTAATTTCCAATTGATCCCACCAAGCAGGCACTCCCCCTTTTAGTTTTAAAGCTACCAACCGAACCTTCTAAGGTTCGGGAGTACCCATATAGCTGAAAAACTTTTCTCAAATTTTTATCCCATCCAAGAATCCCTCTATATCCATCTTGCCATTAAAACTAGGAAGGTCGATTTTCATCTTGTATTCACTGTTTTCTTGCTGTCTAATTGGGTTAGGATACCTGCCAAACCTCTCACCTTCATAGGCTAATAGCTCGTCTTCTTCGTTGCTCGAGGAATCAAACATCAGCTCATTTCACTGAAATCAGGGGTTTCGATTAACTTCTTGACGAAAATGTTGTGGTTCTTGAAAGTTTCTTGGTCCCAAATTGATTGTTTGGGGTCTTCTTTGTGGGGCTATCTGCCTTTCTTGTAGATAGGCAGTCCTTCGGCCCAACCCAACTTCTTGATCCATTCTTGCTTGGTGTTGTGGGTTGGTTCTAACTAGAGATTGCTGCATACCCAAAGCTTCGAGTTTCTCATGGATGATTTCCAAAATCTGCTTAATCTCACCTACGTCCTTTTGGATGGCTTTAACCTCTCTTTCAACCGACAGCAAGCGTGCGGTTGATGATCGTGGTGAGAGAATGAAAACTTGTTCGATTTCTTTGTTGACAAGAGAAGAATCACTGGTGGTGGCTGGTTTCTTTCCTGTCATAAGAGTGCCTAGAAAATTGGGTGCTCTAATACCAATTTGATGCACACTAGTGCTGGAGTTTCTTGAAGGAAATAGTAATCTGTCTTTATTAGAGAAGCCAGCACCTATTTATAGAGGCTGCTGGAAAACTAAATACATGGTAACCACAAGTTACCGTATGGTAACTACAAACTAAACTAAAGAAATGATATAAGAAGCTAAAACTCAACAGCCAGTGTTAATATCTAACAGCTAACTACATCAGACAGATTCTTAGCCATTGAGCTTCCTCTAAAAGTTCTCTAATGCCACAGTCCAACGTCTTAATCGACCTATATCTGACCATTTACCCATCCAATTGTCCTGCGGCATAGACAAATGGCCCCACCCCCTTCTGTTTTGAAAACATGTGGCTGCAAAATCGGAAGTTCATCTATATGGTCGATTATTGGTGGTAACGAATGACACAACCATCTTAGGGGCTGGCTAGGTCATCGTTTCATCCAGAAATTAAAAGCCTTGAAATCTGTCATCAAAGCCTGAATCAAGATACATTTGGTTGCATACACCCACAAAGAAATAATATTTTATTTGAACTTGGGGTGCTTGACGACATAGAAGAAACTGGAGCCATACAATCTGTACACATAGCCCAAAGAAGAACCACAAGCTCGCAAAAATTGAAGGTTAAATGGCAGAACCAGACTGATATTAACTCAAGCTTCTTCCATCATATTATCACCACTAAGAGGAAAAATTCTATTCTTGTGATCCTATCATTTGTAGGTAAAAGCCTTTTGACAGAAACATAAATAGAAAAGGCAGAATAAAAAGAAGAAAGACGGATAGAATAGTGAGGACGAGGAAAAGTCTAGAAAAACTTACAATTTTTAGGAAGAATTAATTATTAAATGACTGCTGCCAAGTACCACTGCATGATATTAAATTGACAAATGGTGCATTTCTCCAATTTTGAAATTTATATGGGCTATTAGGTGAACCATATTTTACCATATCTTCTTTCTCAATTAAAAAAGAACTATATCTAAAATATTTCTATTTTTTTTCTAAATTATTTAAGTTCATTTTTTGTTTAACTATCAAATGATTGTGTTAATATATCCATCAGTTAAATTTCAATACTACATAAAAATATGCACACACATATATTTTTTATATATTAAAAAATTAATGTGTCCTCTATGTGTCGTGTCCTACTTTTTTGGAAATTGGCGTGTCACCGTGTCCGTATCGTGTCGTATCCGTGTTTCGTGTCCGTGTCTGTACTTCTTAGCCTTTTTTAACTCCAATGGATTGAGGTCTTCCCCTCTTTTATAATTTCATATTAATCAATGAAATTGTTTCTCACCAAAAAAAGAAACAGAAAAAAGAAATATGTATATATATATTGAAGATATTGATCGAAATATCGTGGGTTAATCATTAACCACTAAAATATCGTTTTGCTGATGTTTCGTCAATATTTTGCTGACATGGGCTATGTATTGTAGATTTCTTTTTTTACTTTCTTGTTGTCCACCAGCTTATATTGTGACCAATACAGACCTCAGCTTCTCTCATTTTAACCTGATCGGGCCAATAATTTGGTGTCACAAATCATGTTGAAAATCTCTTTGAGACATTCCCTCATTATCTTTTTTTGTGTTTTGGTTTTGATTGACTAAATATATAAAACATATTAATAATGCGCTTCAACCCCAAGATCATTTTATTATTATTAAATGACATGTGTTTGTTACTGACATGTCTAAAAGTATGATACTTGTGGTAAATGGGTTACTTTTGGTATTTTATCTGTTCGCATAAATTGTTCAATATTTGCTTTGCTGTGATTTGCATTGATATATCTTGTTGCAATGCAGGAGAATGTTGAAAAACAGGTGGAAAAGTTTTTTGAGTATATAATGGATAATCATCATGTCATTATGGAACCAGCAACAACTACGTTGCTCCAGGCTTTCCAGCTATCTCTGGTTATTTTTCTTCCTCTCATTTACTCCGCCACCTGATTGTTTATTTCATTCATTATTCATCTTTCATAAATCAGCTTTACCCCCACCTTGCCTAGGGCAATACTGGAAGTTGGCTTAATTTTGATCAATTAGTTTTAATAATAGCGTAAATCTACGCCATTTAGGGTGACCACTTTTACCCTACATCCAGCACTAAAATTTCCTAGTTTCACGTATGCTGCTATCATTTTACCAATGGTGCTTAATGCCACATGCGTAGTGGCACTGGACATCTATTGGATTTTGGATGTGAATTGTCTTCTGAGCAAGGCAAATTTATATTTGCTAGAGTTAGTATGAAACACTACGATCTGTTATAGAATATGGGTTAAATTATAAGAAATTCATAAACATTGCATTGGGAGTCTTCTCTATCCCTCACATACATGTGAACTCCATGTCCTTCCACGCATGTTTATTGGTGTCACTTAACAAATTAAATTATTATTATGCTTTTTGTTCATGCTTTCATCAATCTCTTTGAAATATTTTAACTTGATAGATGTGTATTGCAGTGCTGGACTGCAGCTTCCATGCTTAAGTACAAGATTGACCATAAAGAATCATTGGCACTTGCAAAGAAGCATCTTAATTTTGATTGCAATAGACAAGAGGTATACTTGCTTTATTCGATATTGCGATGTCTCAAGAAAATATTCTCCAATCATTTGGAGTGTTACAAGGTCCCTGAATCTTCATTTGCTTCTGAACCCCTGTACAATGTATTGTCCGACAATGAGTTTGAGAAAGCTGTAGTAAAATGCATTAATAGAATACAAAAAAATTGTTGCAAGAAATTTGAAAACCTTAAGCAGAAGCAACAAGAAGAAAAAGATGATTTTGATAGAACTTGTGATGAAGAGAAATCACTGATGGAGAAACAGTTTCGGATGGAGTCAGCTGTTATTCGTTCTTGCTTGCATAATAGTGTTTTAATGAGAAAAAATAAGCTTCAGGTATTAGAAAACAAATATTCAAAAAAGCTTGAAGAGCACCAATGTCAGATAGAAATACGACGTAAGAAACTTGAGGAAGAGCATGTTGATGAAAGAGATAAGATGCTTGCAACGGAGGCTCATTGGGTTGAAACACTGACTTCCTGGCTCCAGGTTGAATTATTAAACAAGCAAATTTTAAATGAAACTAGGCATGGCCGGTACAGCTTCCTGATAACTGAGCAATTCCATGGTCTTGGAACTGATACCACTGTTTGTGATCGTCGGCCAGTAGATAGTCGTAGTAAGTTTCTTCATAATGTCTCAGGGACTGGGGTGGGAGTATCTGAGATTCCAGGATCTGTTTCGTGTGAAGCTATCATTTGCAGCAATGCTGTTGACAAATGTTCTCTTCAAACCAGACATAATGGTGAGACCACGGCTTTAGATACCATAGATTCTCAAGGACCATCTGCTACTGAGTTTGACGATCACAACAGGATAAATGACTCAAATGGCATTCGTAGCAACACAGTTAAAAAATGTTCTCTTCAAACTAGACCGAATGGTCAGACTACAACTTCAGATACCGTGGTTTCTCCAGGATTATCTGCTACTGAATTTGAGGATCACAACAGCATCAATGGCTCAAATAGCATTGGCGGCAATGCTGTTGAAAGAGTTTCTCTTCAAACTAGACAAAATGGTGAGACTACAGCTTTAGATACCGTGGATTCTCAACAACCATCTGCTACTGAGTTTGCCGATCACAACAGGATCAATAACTCAAATGGCATTCAAGGGAGTTTAACCTCTTTAGAATCTTTTGCTGTGGGAAAAGAGCCTGATGGAGTCATCTTGAGCAATCTGGATAAAGAGGTTTCTACAGAAGGACTTAATAATGGATGTTCTGTCAATGGTGTAGACGTTGTCTCAGTGCATCTGCCTACATCAGGGGAACAGATCTCCCATTCAGAAGATGTGGGTTTGGTTGAAGGTTCACAGAGATTTCTTACAGTACCTTTGCTGCCCTCTACAGAGGGTGGGGAAAATTTCGGTGCCAGGCATCCTGGGAGTGAAGTTCCTAGTGGAACCTGTAGTATTGTCAATCCTGATTTGGTTGTGGATGCTGATACCAATCCTGAAGCATCTCCCTGTGGTTTGAGTTTTCCAATTGATGAGGTTGAAAGGTTACCTGAGACTGTTAATTTACTAGATGTTAGGGAGAATCTCTCTGCTGGGCAATCTGAATGTCAAGAATTAATTCCTAATCAATCAATTTTAAGTCCATCTGACATAGAAATTTCATCGAGAATGCATACAACTGCTTTTTGTGAAGTCGGTGATTCCAGAAACAGTTCGAATGATGGCAAGGACCTTTGTGAAACATTCAATCCTTGTGTGGTAGAAGATACAATTGGTATTACCAATCTTGATGTCTATTCCCACGAGCTGTCTGTGACTTTATCTCCTGTGGAGCTTGCTGTTTCACCTACTACCCAAGGCAATGGTACTCTGCTGTTTAATCAGGTATTGCTTTATGAGTTATGGTAATATATTTGTTCTTGTAGTGTAGCAACATCTAATATTTTTCTATTTCATATCTACGGGGATAATCAGATAGAACACTTTGTCGGCATGCACTTATATTCATGTTTCTTAGAAACAACGTGAAGTCACATTTGACTTACTATAGCATATTTTGTTTTTGAATCTGTTCTGTGTACAGGCAGCACATAATGAAATGAATCAAGAATCTTCATCTACTGGGTCCATGGATGACATTATGCATGCTACTGAAATGGCAATTACTAATGGGGACACTGAAGCTCCAATTTCATTTGTTGCCAATCAATCTAATCAGGAAGCACATGACGAAATGAATCAACAACCTCCATCTACTGAGCCCACGGATGACATTATGCAAGGTACTGAAATGGCTAATACTAATGGGGGCACCAAAGCAACAATTTCAAATGTTGTTGATCAATATAATCAGGAAGCACAAATGATGGAGCCTCAAACACCAATGGTGTCATTAGCAACAAATTCATCTGCTGGCTGCTTTCAGATTAATTTATCTTCTGCTGGTGGAATGGAAGATCACATGGGTAGGGAAGACCATTCCTCTGCTCGGCTTCCTCAGACAGTAAGCCAGCCAGTTGAAAACCCTATTGAGCCCATTGAAGAAGTCTTGTTACAATCTATGGCATGCACTGCACCACATTCTACTCCCAACGTTGCCTTCAGTGATACGAGAACATCCTTTCTGGACTCGAGAACCATATCAGCTAATTTTGATATTAGTAATGGTCTCGTGCAACCAATGCAGCCGTCAGTATTACAAATGCCTACTTTATTGTACATTGATCCATTTCAAAAGGAATTGGAAAGATTACGGAAGGAAATGGAACAATACATAGATTTACATGAAAAAAGGGTTAGTTTTCCCCAGTATCCTTCAGGTGTCTGTTGTATTGATGATTAACACTAGTTTCACTCAGCATAGAGTTCTCTTCTGTACAGAAACTGCAGCTGAAATCTGAACGTGAGAAGGAAATTGAGGAATTTACTGCTCAAGTTCACAAGAAGTATGATGCTAAGCTGCAGGAGTCTGAGACTGAGTTAGATCTTAGGAAGAAGGACTTTGATGTGAATTACCATAAAGTTATGATGGGTCAGAGCTTAGGTCACGCTTTCAGGTGGAAATCCAATGACACCAGGGCATGTGGTAAGTCCTTCATGCTGGTTTGCATTTGTGCGATGAACTGCACTTATATTTCATAGCAGCATCTTGTTAATTTCTTTTATTTAACTTTTTGCTTGTTTTACTTAATTCTGCTTCTTCTCATAAAGAAGGATCTAATCGTGCTACTTTACTATATTTTGTGCTGCTAGACCCCGACAATTTCAAATTTAAATTTCCGTGGATGTGGATAATGGGATGTATAGAAATATTGACAATAATCAATAGATACTCACAAAACTGTTAAATGTTAAAAGTAAAAATGATGATTATCATAATATTAATCTACTTTTAATCAATAGCAGCAAATTAACCTGTGCGATGTTATGTGAACCGTTATTGATAAGTAGATAATGATTTGATTGTTGTATATAATGTACAATTCCAATCTATAATTTCCTCAATACCTCGGTGCAAATTTTAGAAAGATGGTAATTAATGAATCATCACAACTGTATTGAACAAAAATAAAAATTAATTTAAAATTTGGTAATATATTTATAGTTTTCAACACTTCAAAGTTTACTGTCCTATAGATATGTTCTATGTTATTTTCATTATTAATAAACAAAGTTTCACGAAAAGGTGTTGAGTTTTGTTAGAAATTATCATAAGTATTATATTATATCATGAAGAAGTTTTAGAAGTAAATAGCCTAAAATAATACCTCAATACTAAAAATTGCAAAGCTTTTCAGTTTTATTCAACATACGTATAAAATATCAACAATGAATAAAATTTTAAATGTTTTATCTTGGCCTATAGCTAATGGGAGACTAGTATTGTGAACATGAGGAAGCGGAAGGGTTTAAGCAAAAGGAGGTAAATTTTATTAACTTCCAGATTCTGTTCTATGGGTGGGGAGGGTATTTATGTACTCAGCTACCCAACAGCTAGTTCTAATGGCTAGTTTTTATTAGTAATCGCTAATAAAACTAACAAAACTAACAGCTTTAACAACTAACAACCTAACTACTTAGTTAGTTACATCAATTTTCCTCCCTCCCGGGATCACTCGCCTGCTAGTTAAGGTGCTAAGGAAGTTCCACTTTATAAACATTATCACCATAGCATTGTAAAAGTTGGAATCGAATAATATTTTTCTGCTTGAGCTTGTTGTACATACCCACTTGTTGCGTAAATGGATCATCACCAAGTCACCAATGCTAAAGGTTTTGTCCCTTCATTTAGTGTCAGCCAGCCTTATCCTTGTATTGTCTTGTTTGGACCATTCAATATGATCTTGAACCTCTTGATGTAGTTGCATAATTCTTTCAGTCATTGCTTCAGCTTCCCCACTATAATCAGTAGAAGGAATATTAGTTAGATCAACCATAAGCCTAGGTAACTTAGTTTAAACAATTTCAAATGGGTACTTCCCAAGCGATTCTTCATCAAATTCTGCAGGGGCAAGAGCAAAGTCCCATTTTTTTGGCTTATTTCCACTTAGGCATCAAACAAGCTTTCCCAAGGTACGATTGGTAACTTCTATTTGACCATTAGTTTGTTGAGGATAGATGGTATTGAATTTTAGGTTGGTGTCGAATTTGTGCCATAATGTTTTCCAAAAATGGCTAAGAAATTTTACATCCTTATCAGACACAGTTGTCTTGTGTCTTTGGAATGCCATGGAGGTGTACAATCTCATGAAAGAATATTGGCAATATAAGACTACATTAGAGGTCTCTTACAAGCTAGAAAGTGGGACAATTTAATAAATTTGTCCACTGTTGCTTGTCCACAACCGATGTGAATGCAAGTGCAAGTGTACACTAGTTTAGCCGATTGTAGTATAAACAAGGTCGAAATCCACAGGGACTAAGGATATTACTATAAGCATGCGGTTAAGAATACCAAAAATGCAAATAAAAGATAATCAATGTTTGTATAACTAGAACTAAGTAAAATAGTATAACGTACAGAAAGAAATTTCAAGAAAGAAAGTACTGTAAATCAAAAGATGCTAGGGCAGATAAATGCTTTAGCAAAACTAACAGAAAAGGGAAACAGATGATGAGATGAGAACGGGAGAGATCGCTATATGCCTTTACTCGCTCACAAAAGACGTTCTAGGATAAAATCGCAGCTGATGCTCAAACCGACGTGGTTCCCTTCTGAGACACCCAAAAATGAATATTTACAACTTCCGTTGCTAAATACTCAAGCACAAAGAACAGTTTATAAGCACAGTTATGCAGACTTTATCTCTAAGCATCGACAAATTTACTAGAAAATAGTAGCTGACCACAAAGAGAGCCACACACGCTACCTATTCGAGTCATACAAGAGCAAACAAACTAATAGATGCGGCCGAGAAAGATCAGTAAGATAAAAATATTATAACAACTCTATTTAACAGTAGCAAAAACATAGAAAGCCTTTGTTCACAAATTACAGCAAGGGATCCCCCAGATATGGACTTTAGTTCATGGGGAATGGAGAAAATTCCATGAGTAAAGAAAAGAAACAACCCATTTCATGAAATAGTGCTTTTAAACCGGTTAAAACCTCCAGTTCACTGTAGAAACCAGTGGCTCCAACTTCCTATCATCAGCTTCCTCCTCGAAAAATGGGTTCTGCTCTCTTTGTCTTCAACACGGAATTTGGAATGATTTCTCTCTTGGGATCTATTTCCCCTTGGGATTGATGATGAGACAGCCCACATCTTGTTTCTTTTATTGCTCCCCTGAAAGTTTGGGCAAAACTTGATAGAACGTGCATGGTACAGACTTCAGTAAAAATCCCACATAAAACTTGTACCCGGAATTTTTGCAGTAAGCGATTGTCCAGCATTAGGGGCTCTAACATCTAAAGGCCCTAGCAATTCCTTCTGCTTCTATAACTCTGCTTTCAATACTTCCAAATTCTGCAAAATCAATCCAAAAACTCCAAAATTAACGAAGTAAGGAATTCATATTTGACTTTAGTATTTCTCACTTACTTCCTCATTTTGGTGAACTTTTATAGCTAGGATTCTCTCATTTGCACTCCCATTTGGTCCAAGATAATACCACAATAATTATCTTTTGGAGAGTTGTCATCCACCACCACGAAAACAGAGTCAGAGCCACGTTGTGCTTTCGGCAATCCATGGACAAATTCTCTCAAATGGATTGAATGGTTTGTAACGGTGTTTAAAGGCCAGCATTTTGCATTTGTCCTCTTTCTGTTTGCCAAACAAAACACCATTTAACAAAATTGTGGACATCTTCCAAAGCTACAACCAAGAAAGTTTAGAGGAGATGAGTTCAAAGGTTTTGGCACGACAAAAATGGCCCGCCAAACCTCCACTGTGCAAATCTTTAATAAGAGCTTCCTGAAAGATGTGTATGGAATACATAGTTTGTCCCCTTTGAACAAGTATCCATCCAAAATATGGTAATACGTATTAGAGATATGATTTGACCAATTGCCCAAATAGAGTGGAAGTCTGGATCATTTTATAGAAGAATGCAATGATCTCCCCTTTTTAAGTAATGTTAGCAAAGTATCTTTTCCACTTGAGTCATCAACAGCCTTTTTCATTGAACAAACTTTGTGTTTAACAACAAAATCGAACCTTTGGATAAATGCATTTCATCTTGCATGCATCCAGCTAATCTGTTTTTGTGTTTGGAGGAACTAAAAGGAATAGTGGTTGGTTATTAGGACAAGTTTCTTTCCAATTAGATAGTGCTTCTATTGTTTCGGGCACAAATTAAGGCATACAATTTCTGTTCGTATGTGCTCCACTTTTGCTGAGCATCACTTAATTTCTCACTAAAGTAGTTTATTGGATGGCTATCTTGGGCTAGGACTGCCCCTATACCAATACCTGATGTATCAATAGTAACTTCAAAAGGTTTATTGAATTTAAGGAGAGCTATAACAGTGGTAGTACTCAACTTACTAGAGTGGAAAACCTAGTGGTTTGTTCTTCTCCCCCACATGAATTTTCCCTTACCAAAAAAATTGGTTAAAGTTGCTGGAAAGGGTGCTGAAGCTTTTAATGAATTTTCAATAAAATGATACAAGATCAAGAAAACATTGGATATCTTTCACAGAAGTAGGTATAGGCCACTCATGTATTGCCTTTATTTTGTTTGGGTCAACTCAAATTCCCTCCTGATTAATGAAAAATCCCAGAAAATAAATTTCATGGGTGAGGAAAATCCTCTTGTGGTTGATTTCCAATTAATGTTTTTTGGAGAACCAAGATCTTACTAGAGATAAATGGGTTCTTTACAAATTAGTAATACTGATGAGGGAGGTGAAGAGGATGAGGAATTCAAAGTTTTAATAAGTCGGAATTATTTTTAGATTAGGACTGAGAAGTGAGATACAAGGATGAGGAAGATTTTATTGTTTTTTATCAATATTTTGTTGTCAAAGAACATACTTTCCACCAAGCAACTGAAAGAAGACACCATTTCAGATTTCGGCAATGTGTTTGGGTTGACTATTGTATTCTTTATGTAATTTTGCAACCAATTGGATGCCTAATGCACTGCTTTATTGGTTTTTTCACAGGTTAGATAACATTTTCATTGAAGTATATTTGAATCACTTAAAGAAGTGAGTTTTCATTTTGAAGGTTGTTTGCAGCTTCCTATCTTTGTTGCTTTTAAACTCGAGGACAAGTTATGTTTTTAAGAGGGAGGGAACTGATGTAGGATATTGAAGGATAATTTTGTAATTTTCTTTAGTTCCTTGTTTTGTTAGTAAATAGTACTTAGTTGTTAAATCCTCTATAAATATAATTGATTTATTACTAGACTTGTGAATCATAATAAACCCCCTTCATTACCTTTTTGTTATTTAGGCTACACGATGGATCAAAGCTTTATCATCCAACAAGCTTTTCCTAGCAAATATGCCTCTGAAACCTTGGTTTCCGAATCTTCTTTCTCTAGCTCCCATAGCCCATGACTTTATATTTCTGAGCTAGAATCTCCCATTCCAAGAAATTCTGTTATTATGGTCAAAGATACGATTTTCTTAATCAACCAAGATGGGTAAGTGTTCTTTTTTTCCTAATCAAAAACAAACTTCTCATTGATGAATGTAAAGATACAAAAAATTTTAAACATACAAACCCGAGAGTGAAAAGAAAACAGAACTTCCAAATAAACAACAAATTTGCAACTATTACAAAGAGGCTAAAAATTAAACGTTGAAGAAATCCTTCCTCCAAACTTCAAAGTTGCCCCAAGAAATCAATCGTAACTTCTGAGGTGATCCCAATGATATCAAAAATCACAGAATACAAGTTGAATGGAGCACGAATAGATTATTTGTCTAACAAGTTGGCATGATTAACATATATGCACCAACTTGAGGGGGAGTGTTAGAGTATAGATATTAGTATATTTTATATTCTTGTATTAATATTAATTTGTCATGTACCTTCTCCTTATAGGATTAGATCAACCTTGTATATTTATCTATATATATAGACTTTAATAATAAGAATACATAACATTGGATTCTCTCCAACCTTAGTCTCTACACTATTTATTTGGTGTGGTATTAACACACAGGATCCTTGGTTCTCTGTTACTTGGTTGCTTTTTCTTTTATTTCGTTTCCTTTTGGAAGCTCGTATCCTTGAACATTTTTCTTCCTTTTCATAATTTAATGCAAAGTTTGTTTCTTGTTAAAAAAAAATAGCCGTGATAATTTGCAACAAAGGAAAAGATTCCCTTTGCCTTCAGTCATGCTGCTTGTGCAACTATTCTGGGGAGAATCAAATCAACTTGTTCTATCATGTGTGCATTCTTGATTTGGTCGATCAAGCCGAAGTTTTGTGGGTAATTGGTTTTTGTGTCATGCTTTTGGTGTTATGGTTAGAATGGGATGGAAGAGTTGGGAGGATGTCTCATCTTTCCTTATCTTCTTTATTCGTCAACCTAACTTTTAATTGTTCTAAAAAATAAGAAAAAGTACTCAAACCAGCATGTGATCTCCAGGCTACAAATCCAAATCTATATTTTCTGTATTAGATACTCCGAGATATCTAGGATAGTGCTGGTAAGGGTCTTTGGCATTTTCGATTATTATATGCTTCATCACAATATATCTCTGTTGTCTACCTGAAAACTCCTATAATCTGTAGTTCCTTCTCTTTAATTTCTTTTTTTTTGGATTACTCATCTATTTACATTGTTACCATGCATTTCGCATCTTGGTCTAATTTATACTATTATTTGTTTCGGTCGCAGATGTAGGTTCCTTCTTTGCATCACAGATGATTCAACCACCTCTTCTGCAAAATGTACCAGGGCCTTCCTTGGTAGTCCGGCCACCTTTCAATCCATCTATAGTCGGTTTGCATACAGCCAATGCACCTTCTATTAGTATGCAAAGGACCGTGCCTGTGGTGAATTTTCCAACCAACTCACCTGCCTCTAGCCAAAGTACTGCTTCAACATCAATGCACGCTCACCATTCATCCGCCCATTACTCGAGCAATCCAATGAGGCCACCCCTCATCGGCTCCATCTCCTCCCCCTCTGGAAATCCGTTAATTGGTAGTGTTATTCGTGCACCAGCTCCTCATTTGCAACCCTTCAGACCTACATCAATTTCAGCTGCTAATCCTCATAGCATCTCTAGTCAACATGGACCAAGCAACCCTTCTGTAACCTCTCCCACATTTTCTCAGCTTCCACCTCGACTTCCAGTTTCTGCGCCACATCAGTCCATTCTATCTAACAGACCTTATCGCCCTGAGAGTTCAGAACAGTTGCCTACTTTTTCTAACACGCCTTTATCTGCATTAGACTTGTTGATGGATATGAACAGTCGTGCTGGTGTGAGTTTTCCAGTTACTTTGCCTATGCTGGCAGATCTAACTGTGAATTTACAACAACCTGTCGCCCCGCCCGTTAGTACAGGTGGCACGGCAGTTAATGCAGTTCAGACTACTGGAGACTCGGACGTTGTCTGCTTGTCAGATGACGACTAACCAACCTGACAAAAGGTACATTTCTGACTTTTGGAGCTCCTCATAACTTAGGTTTGCTTGCCGCCAAGGGGGAATGCAAAAGTTAATATCTGAAACTAATGAAATATCGTAGATGTAAATGGTGAAATACTATCTCCAAATGTGTATAATGTAAATATCCATTTGTGATTTGCCCATGTCTACCAAGTTGATGGTCTGGTTTTGGATTCTCTTTGGCAGTTAGAGCAGATTAATTGGCTATTTTTTGCATCATTTTTTGCTCATCTTCAAATCAAACTCATGGTGTAGTACATGAAGCAGGGGGGAAATTGAAATTGATTCGCAAATGTAGCATGTGAATGCCCTTAAGAGTCTATGATTTCAACTATTTTGTGTGACTGAGAGCATGGTATTAAATACCCGTCGACATTTTCATCATATTACAAAAAAAATCGACAGAGTTTGAAAAATATCAACAAAATGACAAAATGTTACATATATATATATATTTTGTCAAAAAAAAATTGTATATATATAATATTAATATTAATCGTTTTTAAATTATTGAAAAGTATAAAAATATTTATTTGTTAATTTAAATATTATTACAACTTTTTATTTCTCTAACTTTTACCGAAATATCCTTTAATATCGATATTTCTATAAAATTGAGGTGTTGACATTATTTCTAGTGACATTTACTTCACGAGTGCTTTTAAAACTAAATGTTTTTAGTAATACTAAATGTTTTTAGTAATAGTTAAAATGTTTTTAGTAATAGTATTTTAATGTTAAGCACTTTAGTAGATAGTTTAACGTAAATTGTGTTTCTATTTTGAAAGTGTTGTGTTTCTCAAAGTGAAGTTGGAAAGTATAGAAAAGTGAGGCGATGGCCTAAATATACCCATTTTTGAAAGGCTTATATTTTTTATGTAATATACATTATATATACTATAATATTGTTATCTATTTATTTTAATTTTTAATTATAAATATAATTTAAATATAAATTAACGTTTTCATAAATTTTTTTAGTATTGAAAACACAAACTAAGAATATATATTATTCTTTTAGGAAAAAAATATAAGTTTTCAAATGAGTGCAAATTGGTTTAGAAAATCCTATGAGTATCGTAAATTCTTCTCGATTTTAATTAGCTACCCATATTTAATTATATCTTTTTCTTTCTAATTAAAACCCTTCAAATTTTCTTTAAAATTCAACCATTAGTATAATTATCTAAAGTTCAAGTTAGAAGATCTCATATATTTTCTCTTCTTAATTGTTATTGTTGTTGTTGTTATTTACAATCAAAATCTTTCTAATTCTCTTGAAAAAAAAAACTCTTATCATACAAAAACTCTATCATAAACTCAACTTTTATATTTTGGTGTACTACCAACCTCAAAATCAAAGTTTCAAATTTGTTATTTGCTCAAATTAGTCTAACTGCGTCCAAGTTTCATATTTTTTTATTTCGTTTCTTTTACGTTTTAAAAAAAAAGTTATTCTATATTGTTCACTACATTAATATCTAAGATTTGTTTAAACTTGCTTATTTTAGGAATACAAAATATATGTCTACTAGAAATATATCAATCTATACATGAAAAGCTTGAAAATAAAATAAAAATAGAAAAATAAAATTTTAGATGAAGTCATCTATATTTAGGCCTCCCGATCAAAATTTTACCGTCTCATATCATCTCGAGCCGCTCCTGCTTACAATGTACTTAAAGTTATCTTCTATATCTTCCAAAGGTGATGTTTGTATGTTGATTTTGAACGAGTATCTTTTGTCATGACAAATATTTTAATCTAGTCAAAAGTACTCTCAAACCTCACATAAGTACTAGTTGCAAGCCACGTTGCATTTATAACGTTATTTTTCTGGACTTAATGGAGTATCTACTACGATTAAAATTCCCAGACTTCTTTCAGAAGAATATTACATACAAAACAAAAGGTTAACTTGTTACAGTCGATTATTGGAACAAAACTAGATCTTTGGTACTCTTTGGTTATAGGTTGGTTTAGAATAACTCATGGATTAGAACAATAAAAATAATTCAAACTTGAAAAACTGTTGGGTATAAAATTGTGTTGATGGATTCTTAGAAAGTTGTGCCCAAGGAATTGGCCATAGTCAAAAACTGTCGGCTCAAATTGGAAATCAGCTAAATAGGCTTATCATATTGTCTCTATCTGCTTGAATCCATAAAGATTTTGGCATTAAATCACAGTCAAATCTGTTGAGTCAAAAGCACTACAATGCAAAGCGCTTGAGGAAAAACTGTAACCAATTTCTCTCATCAATTTGCTTTCTGTGTTTGTTGAGTGGTTGTAGCAAACAAAAACTCTCCCTCTTCTCTTATCCTCTCTTCTTTTTCTTTTGTTTAGTGTTTTCTTTTTCTTTAGTGTATGATGAAGCAATCAATGTGGACTACCAAATTCTCAACCTTGTTAGAAAGAGATTGCACTCGAGATCATCTTAAATTGTTTTTTTAAGTGTTTTTTTTTCTTTTTTCCTTTTGAGTTGAACAAAAATATAAGGTGGAATATCAAATCTTCAACTTTATGGAAGATAGTAAGTCTCTCCCATTATTCTATCTTCGACGGGAATTCCATTTTTTTTCCTTTCTTGACGACCCGAAATCGAACATGCTCTTTAGCTCTTTTCACTATAACTGGGAGGCACTCGTCACTGGCCGCTTCAAGGCCAGTACTCGGGAGACATTAAGAGTTTTTGGTATTAAATTCACCTAAAGATTCAAATACAGGATTTTACGATACCATGTTTCGAAATGGTATAAATCATAAAGGATTGTAGTTTATTAAAATACAACGAAGCTTTAAAACTAATTAATTGGTTTGGGAAGTCAAACTTTTTTTTTTACGGACCCTTTTTCCATATAATCTTTTACAAAACAAAAGGAAATTATTCCCTTTGGTTAAAAGATTGATGAAAGAGAGTAGACAATGTAGAATCTTAAGGCCCCATGAAGATGGAAGTGCTTTGTAAAAGAGCTAAAGAGAGCTCTATTTTTTAGAAGCAAATAAAAAGTGGTTCTTTTCCCACTACAAGACACAAACTAGAGACCCAAGACAGTGGATGCTTTTAACTCCTTTTGAGAAACTCCACCATTTTCAACTTACAATACATTATATTCCCATAATTTCACACCATTTTCAACTATAGCTTTATAAAAATATGGAATCACCATGTGACCTATATCCTTCCTTTTTTCCCTTTCTTTTGTAATTCTCAAGAGTGGGGCTATTTGATTTCCTATCAATGGTTTTTGTATAAAAGTATGGAGAATATACCCCGAAAATAACTAATACCTACGCTTTTGATTCTCGTATTTGGAGTTTATTCCATTTTAGTCTCTATTTTCATATTTCCAAATTTAGTCTTTGTGCTTCTAATAAATCTTAAAATTAGTCATCATTCTTGGTTTGAAGTTAATTAGTTTTATCTTTGCCAAAATAACAACAATTTCCATTTAAGAAAAGATACAACGGGAATACATTTTTCAAATTTCTTGGGGAACATTTATGTAGGCACTGCTGGGTTTATAAAGAGAGTGCAAACAAAATCTCACATTGGTTAGGGAAGGAAATGATCATGGATATATAAAAGAAGACAATTATATCCATTGGTACAAAGCTTTTTGGGTGAAACCAGAAACAATATAAAGGTACAAGGACTAGATTTTGATATTTAAAAATTCACAAACAGAATAAGTCCTAAATACAATAACTAAAATGATATTTTAACTTTAATATTAGTTTAAATTTTTGAGTTTGATAGTGATTTAGCATGGTATAAAAAGTGTGAGATTTTGTGATCAAATACCAACAATATTATATATGCAATACCCTAACTTATTAATCTATGTTTATGGATTCTTTGGTGTTACGAGCCCACAAATAATATAAGCTTTTGACTCCAGTGATGATTTAACAAAAAGTACTTTTAAAACGGTGATTTAACAAAAAGTACTTTTAAAAAACGTAAACGTATACGAAGTTCTCATAATTTAGTATAGTAAAATTTCAAGCTGAGCATCCACTTTTCCTTAATATATTAGTATTCTTTCATTTCTTTTTTTTTTTAATTATAATATTGTTTGATTATTTCAAGTGTAAGTAGGGTATTTTTAAAGAAACCTTATCTTATCTTCTGAGTTATTTTTTTAATTTCAATTGGTCCTTAAACTACCATTTAGTTTCCATTTAGTCATTTTCATCATAACTCTTTGTGTGCTGAGTGGTTGGTGTGTCATTGTTATAGCATATCATATAACAAAATATCTACTTAAAAAATCAAATTCAAACTATGCTTTCAACTTGATAATAATTGGGTATTAATTATTTTCTAATCACATCCCTTATCTATATTTAATGATTCTAGTTACACTTGTCCTTTCATTAACAATGAACATAGCTTGCTTCATAGTAATTTGACACCTACCCGTTTCTTTTAAGTTGAAGGTTCAAACCTTCATAGACCTCTCATTTTTTTGTACTCATAATAAATAAATAAGTGGTAAACTTATAATATGAATGAATTAACTTAATCAAAGAATAAAGCATCTTATTCTTACCTTTAATG